TACCACTGCAGCCATGCCCACCCAATGGGCCACACTCACCCAATGGACCACACCCACCTGGCACCCGACGATACATAAATGGGTTTGGGATTGCAGTTTGGGCATTCGGTCTCTAAAAGGTTCGCCATCACTGCGATATCTGGTTCTATCTTATACATTTAGCACCCAATTTGATATCAGCTGCCAACTAGTAGCCTTTAAATTCTATTTCATCCAAGGGACCTTGGAGGTCTTCTAGTCCAACCCCCTGCTCAGGCAGGAAGCCTTATACCATTTCAGACAAATCATTGTCCAATCTCTTTTTAAAAACTTCCAGTGTTGGAGCAGTCACAACTTCTGGAGGCAAGTTGTTCCACTGATTAATTGTTATAACTGTCAGGAAATTTCTCCTTAGTTTTTGGTTGCTTCTCTCCTTGATTAGTTTCCATCTGTTGCTTCTTGTCCTGCCTGCAGGTGCTTTGGAGAATAGCTTGACTCCCTCTTCTTTGTGGCAGCCCCTGAGATATTGGAAGACTGCTATCATGTCCCCCCTCGTCCTTCTCTTCCTTAAATTCGACATACCCAGTTCCAGCAATTATTCTTCATATGTTTTAGCTTCCAATCCCCAAATCATCTTTGTTGCTCTTCTCTGCACTCTTTCTAGAGTTTCAACATCTTTTTAACATTGTGGAAATCAAAACTGGCTTCAGTATTCCAAGTGTGGTCTGACCAAGGCATTATAAAGTGGTATTAACACTTCACATGATTTTGATTCTATAATACATAATAATGTGAGCAAAGTACAAATGAAATTTTAATGTCTACATAGTAGCTGATATTTATAGCTTTGTTCTTATATGAGACACCATAGTTAGTCAAGTCCTAGTTGCTAAAATAAGGTATTTTCAATTGGATTTATTTATGCACTTTTCTCTATTAGGAAATCATAATATTTTCTGGAAGCTTTCTCTTTTTTAAAAGATTACAATTTTAAATTCAATTTCATCCTCTTAATTATTATACTATCCAGATGTCATTTAGCTGGGTTCTAATCATTATATCAGGAATTGGTTGATTGATGCTTTGATGAAATCAAGTAATCAGAAACAAAAGAGGGGGGGAGCCCACAACTACATAAAGAGAGAAACTCAAGTTGTAAAGAATTGGTGGGAGATTGGTACCTTCAGACATACACAATTGCCTGGCATCATGAAATGAACAACATATAAATTTGATGATAGACAGACAGACAGACAGACAGACAGACAGATGAATGTAGATATTCTCTTCATGTAGCCTAAAAATAAAGTAGAATTAGTTCATCTGGATTTATTTCCAGTCTGGTCTACATAGGAGGAGATTAGCATGGCATCTTTCTTCTTGACAAATCCATGCTTTCTGGAAATCTACTTGTTATTTTCAAGGAGATTATGAATATTCTTTATTTGTGCAAGTTATTTTTGACCTGCTTTTGAATGTTTCGTATGATTAAAAAATGTGGTCAATTATATTTTTTTCAAAACCTATATTGTCAATACATGATTGACAAATTTTGCTGAACCTTTTTTTATTTTTAAAGACAGCAGTAAAACTTGTTCTTCTAAAAATATTTACAAGTTAGGCCACTGTAGAAGAAAAAATCAAATGAGAACAGACAAAAAGGAATAAGTTACCATGTTTATTGCTTTTGAAATTCCTTGATGTTCCCATTCTAGTTCCATCCCTTTCTGGAGAAAAATGAATTTTGCAATCTTTCCAACTATGAACTGTACTTGGACCAAAATGGAGATTTAAAAGCTGATCTGAGTTTCATTAGCTGGGTATTTCTCTCCAAAAAGAATCTCAAGAAAGAGAAAGTGGTGACTTTTGAAAGACAGAGACTTATTATCAACCAAGGTCATTTGTCATGGCTAAAGTTGCACAACAGGGTAGGAGAAATATTGAGGATTTTTTTCTATGCACTATGGCTCAGTGTTGAAATGGGGAAGCTGCATGAAAATGGTAAGAGAGGCCCTCAAGTGTGAGGGATTGTAGTTCGCTTATTCCTTGTCCTCAAACAAGAAGGAAAATTTGTTGACCAGTGCCTGAGTTCAGGCTTGCACTGAATTTGATGACATTGAATGAAGACTAGATGGAGATTCTTTTGGTTCCGGTAGGAAATAACCTTTGGAATCAGATTCACCTTGTCCTGGTTGGGGCTAGTGTCCCATAGAAGGGCAGGGCAAGAAGTTTTTAAGAAACCCAGATCTGGCCAGAGTTATCTATTCCAATTTTCACCCCACTGGGATAGTGCAATAGGTCTTCTGCTCCTACAAAAGAGGTTGACATGGAGTCAAAATGACTGGATTGCTGAGAGATAGTGTCCTGGCCCAGAAAACTGAAGCATTGAAATATGATTTTTGACTCAAAGAAAAGCCTTTCCTCATATCTGAAAAAATGAGGAATAGTATAAAAGGAAATATTGCTTAGATTTGTCTTTGGTTTATAAGAGGGCACATCATCTAAAAAACCCTTGAATGAAATTGTTCATCTTGATTGTTAGCTACTTTAAGTCATTCTGGGAAGAAAATGAGGCTCCAAACTTAACTAATAACAATTATGGGTTTGTTCTTCCAAGCCAGTTGCTGTTACCTAATTGTAGTTCTTCAACAGAAAGGACCTTGTCTTGGATATCTAGCTGGGCCTTAGAAATTCCCACATACAGCTCATATGCAGCAAAAGATTCCTGACTTACACTTTCTGAGAGACATGTTCTCATGACCTCACCTGTACCTCATATCACTATAGTTTTAGAAACTGAGCAGTCACTTTCATTTCAAGAGTATGTCAGCATGTCAGGATGGCTAGCACTAATATATTTTCTTTGGAATTCATTATTTTTCTATTTAGTCTCTGCCTCAGTCCAAATGTGTGGAAAAATGTCATCCTGGATTTGTCAAGCAAAAGCAAGAAGGAGAGCCATTTTGCTGCTATGACTGTGTTCCTTGTCCGGAAGGGACCATCTCCACTCAGGAAGGTGGGTGACACCAAAGTAAAGTCAGGCCTTGAGGTAGTGGATTCATCCAGAGCAATTTTCATTAAAGTGAAAGTTAAAGGAACATCTCAACTGATTTTTTGTTTATTTTCAAACTGCATGATTTCTTCTCAAAATGAAAAATAGTAAAGACTGGATTGGAGAGTATGGCATATTGGACAGGTTTTGCTACTGCCAGAGAAAATACTGCTTCTTAGTTTGTATTTGTCCTCCACATTTATCTTTCTAGGAACATCTGAGTTCTTTGAAACTTAGAGAATTGTCTTAGGTCCATTTCCAGGAAGGATTATTGCAGTACTCTCTGCATGGGACTCCCCTTGTAGATCACTGGAATGTATCACTCCTCCACAATGAGGTGGTATTGACAGTTATGGGCACACCTCATTACACCAATATTACCAGTGGTCCCAGTAGTCATTCTAGATTATTTGCACAACTACCTTTCTCTTCCAGCCAACTACATTTTAGAAGACAGGGAGAGCTATGGTGGCACAGTGGTTAGAACGCAGTATTGCAGGCTAATTCTGCTGACTGCCAACAGTTTGATTCTCACTGGCTCAGGATTAACTCAGCCTTCCATCCTTCCAAGGTCAGTAAAGGGAGGACCCAGATTGTTGGGGGCAATATGCTGACTTTGTAAACCACTTAGAGAGGGCTGTAAAGCATTGTAAAGCAGTACAGTATATAAGTCTAAGTAATTTTGCTATTGCTATCCTCTGATTCCAGTTTGGTACTGAGTAAGTACCATTTGGAAGGATTCCAAAAATGTGCCTAGTAAGATGAACTGATTCATTATTTACCGCTAATAACCTGGGTTACCATGAAAATTCTACAGAATACACAGGAAATTGTATTGGTCCTAGGCTTTTCCCAATTTCATAGAACCTAGCTCTGTATGGTTTAGAAAATGATGTTCTTCCTATT